CATTGATAGTTCTGATTGTGGAACTGGTAGATGTACATTCTCATACTGTGGATTAACTGATGATAGTTCTTGCTCTTGTGAACCTGTAATACAATTCATCATAGTAAATCTTATATTAACATACTTTGACAATTCTTCCCTTTCCTCTTGCAGTAACACACAGTTAATGTAATAACATTAATCATTAGTGATAGTATGAGGAATACACCTAATACACTAATCAACGCTGCTGTATTAATGAAAGAATGATAAATGTTATCACACAGAAATACTATTAATGTTAATTGCTTACCGCTAGTGACAGGTACTTCACTTTGACTTTCCCTTATATTACAATCCTCTATCGTCATGGTAGATATAACAGTAGATGAAACTGTAGTTGTTGAAGTATACATTAACAATACTGAACTATAGCAGATGGGATTAGAAGTAGATCCTAATGTGTCTTCATGTGAATTTAGGTAGCTTGTCAGCATAGTACTAGAGACTATAGGAGCTTTATCAATATTAATACCAGTTAATACAGCAGCAGAATTAGTAGAAGAGCCATCTATTGATTCACATGCATACAGTGTTAAGTTATTACCAGCTGGTATGTTAGTAATACACTGAATAAAGTTCAACTGATCATTACGAGATACATTGTAGTACACTAGTGAATGAACTGGCTCTTCGTAATTAGTGATGTGAATATAAATAATATCAGTGGTGCTGCCATTAACAAACTCAAACTGAAGACAAACTTTGTTAAATGTAATATTAACCACTGCTATGTGCTGAAGATCATGAGTACCTTAATAATAATAAAGTGCTAAAGATTAGTATGATATGTCACTTACTGATTGTTATAGTGTTGCTTTGAAATATAGCTCCATTTTGATAGTATAAAATAATATTAGTGTTCAGTATCTCTCTTGATGGAAGATTTATAGTCACAACAAGTGAAATGTTATTATAGGAACTACTACTAGTGGATACATTTGTTGATGAATAACAAATACTACTGGAGCTACCAACAGTACAACTAGCTACTGCAATATTAACAAGTGACACTCCAGTACACAACTGATGAGCCTACAATAAATGAAAAACAGGTGTTTGGGTGTGTGGGAGTAACTAACTGATAGTAGGTAATGTAAACTCCAACTATTGTTTATGTGGTACCTTAGGGTAGGTATTAATTGCGCTCTTAAATTTTAGCGTTTTTAAGGGGACCCTGATTTAGCAAAATGTAATATTAGCGAAAATAGGAAGAAAATCAATGGTGAAACCCCCATTCAATAGCATAACACAACTCAAGAAGCCCCAATCTTAACAGGACCACCCTATTTACTGTTATCTTGTTACAGATCTTGCCTATCTTGTGTACTTGTTTACACAAGTACATAATAACTATTATTAGCGACTGGTTGAATTAGCGATTTGAAGTACACTCGCTAAAAACACTAAAATTAAAGGGTAAGTCCAGTGTATT